ATGCACAATGGCAGGCGCACACTATTTAGCTTTACTGAACAGACGATAAACAGTTTATATTCTAAAATCTTTTTTTTTATTAAATTTTTTTATTTAAATGTATAGGTTGTTCTGTGTAAATTAAATAACATTTGGATGTAAATGGTCGGCATAAATGTGGAACACTGAGCCGCTAAAACGGCTGCGTCCTGTGGATCATCTTTATCCGGAGTCATCAAGCACGGCATGATATCTTCATCCGAGTTTTTGCGTTATCTCCAGATCTCACTGCAGTTCGTGTACGTTGTTAAAAACGCGGAATATCATTTTATGCCACACTACAGGCAAGCATTATAAGTCTATTCCACCAAAATGCAGATTCGTCACGAGACAATTCTTACGCAGATGAGATTGAGGGAGACGTTAAGTTTATTTTGATTTATTAATTTACTTACAATAACAATTTAAAATGTATTAACTTTTACATATCTTATTAACTACATTATATGCATATTTACTTCGTAGAAAAAAACTTTATAAATAATAGTAAAATCTTAAACATTTTAAGCTACGCCCATGGCCTCAAGTTGTTCTAAACCTGTATGAATTTCTTTGTTCTCCTCAACATAAAAGAAGATATTTTGAATAATGTTCATAACCGGAAAGTTTCTGGTCCCCATTGACTCCAATAGTGTAGCTGTTTTTTATTTATTTATTCATACAATGGAAGTCAATGGGGCCCAGAAACTGTTTGGTTACCAGTGTTCCAAATATATTCTTTTGCATTCAACAGCAGAAGGAAACTCATGCAGGTTTAGAACAACAACAGAATTTTCATTTTTGTGTGAACTATTTCTCTAAAGTATAGCCTAATATAGCTGCTGTTGCCATTTGTGTCAATAATGTAAATCAAACATCAGAAAGAAAATCACTCACTGTCCTTGACTGAATCACTTTTGTAAAATAAATAAGAATGAATGTATATTGAATTTATACAATGAAGACTATTCAGTCCATTTGTACGTTTAGGACGAGTAGGTCGATTTCTTATGTTTCTTTGTTCTGTTGTAATTTGTGACTGTTTACTTGTCTTCAGTAAGCTTGTTTTTACTTAGGCTAGTAGCTATTATTATTATTTTGTGATATTGAAATTGATAACAAGAATTATTACATTTCAGTGCATCAAAAATGTAGATAGGATAAAAATCCTATTTAAAGCTATATATATAATTATTGTGATGGGGGGGGCCCTGCAGTAAGTCTTATTTTGGTATTATTATTATTATCATGATAATATTGTACGGTCATGTGACCTTTGATCACCTGGAGGTAGGCCTATAAAGATTGGTACATCAGTGTTGTTAATTTGTCTGATGAAGAGCCTGCGTGCTCGAAACGTCACACACGCTATGCGACAGTTCTTTTAAAATACATTTTTGATACTTTTGGAGCTTTGGTGTTGCCGACTTTACATTTAGAAAATAATGTGTATCCTTGGAAATGAAAAAAACAAACATGTTTACGATATTTGTGTAATACAAATATAAAATAGAACAGTAACTAAAGCATGATCAGTTGTAATAATAAACAAAAATGATAAATGAATTAAAATGTACGAAATTAAAGGAGGAATTTCAATAATTGTAGACACTGACTGACTGAAGACGCCAAAGCTGTAATGTGATTGGTTTAAAAGGCACACGTGATACACATTCTCCAAAGGTGGAGTTGCAGAGGATGGGATCTCCTTACATAATAGCATCTCTGTACAGTCTGTATACAAAGTATGGAAAGCCGTTTTAACATTTTAATCTATAAGCCGTACTAGTATCTATTTTCATGGTACTAGTACTTATTTTTTAGATACTAGTATCTTTTCCATTAAGTTTTAGTACTTATTCATTACTTATTATACTTACTTATTCACTAGTGCTTATTCTTTAGCTACTAGTGTTTATTCTTTAGGTACTAGTGTCTTTTGTAAAGTTACTAGTACTTATTAATTAGATACTAGTTCTTATTGATTTGATACTAGTACTTATTCAAATAGTGACTAGTATTTAATTATACTCTTCTTGTTAAGAAAAAATAGAACTAGTACTTATTTTTTAGTTACTAGTAACTTTTTAGACCAGAGATATCCTGAACTTAATAGATACTAGTACTTTTTAAATTAGCATTTCTGCCCAGTATGGTAATCGTATGTTGAATATTAATGAGCCAGCAACATAAGAGAGATTAGACAGGAAACAGAAACAAGGAGATGAATGTACATTTTGAGGAAATCACATAGAAAAGAAACAATTATTTGTACACAAGCACATAGAAAACATATTTTTGTCAGTTTTGTAAACACTGTAATTTCATAAACATAGCCTAATGTGTTAGTTGGTCATCGAGTGGCAGGATGGCAGGATGGAGATAAGACACCAATTTTATTATCTGTTATTCTCCTATTTTTCCTCCAGTAAAAACAATAAATATGATACCAGGGCTGTGCGTTAACTTTTTTTTTTTTTTTTTGCATATAGCACTGGTTCCACAGAAATTTAATGTTTTTACATTAATATTCTGTACAGGACACACTGGTGCTACAGACACTGAATGTTTTTACATTAATATTCTGTTCAGGGCACACAAAATCCAAACCTTATGTTTTTCAGACAAACATTTTCTTTATTTGGAAAAAAGGCCAAAAAGTTATTATTATTATTATTATTATTAATAATAATAATAAACACCAGGTTTGCTGTACTTGTAGGGCTGTACAATTTGGCTAAAAATGTTGTTTTTATATATCAATATAACTAATAGCGATTATGGTTATTATTTCTAAATAAAAACATTAAACAAAATAATAACACCATTTCACTATAATATACAAAACTGAGTATTTAAGAATAAATATAATAATAAATATAGCTGCAAGAAAAAGTTGAGTACTCAATTTATGTAATTTCTTTTTCATTCATACTCGTAGCCAGAGGGCGCCCTTGCGCAGAAACTCCACAAGTGAGACTCACTGATGATGTTCCAGGAAATCCCTTATATGGACAAAGACATTCAGCTTGCTCATAGATGAAGTAGCTAAATAACATGCAGATAGACGTTTTACTGATGAACCATGAAGAAAATAAACAATGACTGCGACAATATATGGTTTTATCTGTGCTCTTCAGGCCATCTCGGGTATTTTTATAAGAATAAAGTATATTTAAAATGCAATTCTAATCGACATTTATCACTGTATAGAATAATATAAAGTGGCATGATTTCTGCCTC